TTATATAAATTTCATTTGCGTACAGTGTTGCATGACCATGCAATTGTCAGTTAGAGTAGCGCAGTTACATAACAAAAAATGGCCTAGTCATGAAGGGAGTAAAATCTTCTGGAGCTGAAGTGGATAATATACAATTTCACACCCAGATGTTTTATCTACATATGATATATGCACATTATAACCTATTTAGAGCTTTAGATAGTAAGTGAAAGTGATGTGAGGGTGTTATGTACCGGATGTAATCAGAGATAAAAGTTGGGGAGAAAGGACAAGGTGCAGCTATACGGCCTCCTGGGCCTGTACACAGTCATTACCTTGTACATTCTCTGTAGTCATTGTATATAATAGACAATAAATGATATTGGAGGCAGTAGAGGAACTCACAGGAAGGTCTCCATTGTTGTTCTTGGTGTCTTTTTCCTCCATGTTCCAACAAAGGGATCTCTTGGAAACGGCTCCTCACAGATTAAGTGTCGGGGTATTTATGGACCAAGGTAGGTGTGTCCCTCTCCGGAGGTATTTTGGACTGGTTTCCAGAGATTTTGCACAACAAAAGCAGTTTCCATAACAAAGGCATTCATCCATCCAATAAATACATTGGAACAAATATGATGTTTGCAGTAGGCGTGCAAAGACTTAATTCCCCAAGATTTAACAAGACAGAGAACGTTCTATAAAAACAAGGAAGTTGTGGTTGAAAAATAAACATCTATACTTGCAGATAGCATAATAATCAAAGTATAGCTAAAGGCAAAAACTTTTCTTTAAGTTTGATAGTGTAGTGAGGGGTTAGAACCACTGTCTGGATTTTATTGCTTTCCATGTGGCCATTTCTCTGACATTGGAATGATATTCTTTCAGTACCTGTGGAGTCTACAGGACAGGAAGTGATGGGAAATCTCAATAGGACAATAATAACACAGATGACAAAAAAAGAATGGTTTTACTCCTCCACTGCTCTATCCAATGTGAAAAATGTTTTGGCTTGAGATACTGTATAATTTTAGATAAGTATACTTTGACATTCATCAATAACCTAGAAGAGTGTTTGGAATCACAGGGAGAACAACAGGTCAATACAGCTCCGGACAAGGTATACGGTATGAATAAGGCCCCACGGGCTGAAATGTGTTAAAGTGGGGGTCAGCAACCTGTCAATCACGTTCTGTCAACCACAGGCAGGTGACAGGTAGACCGCAAACAGGTTCCTCCCCCCTTCCCAAAGCCTCCTCTGCTGCTGCTGTCATCCTCAGTGCACAGCGGAAAGCGGAAGGCAGCACAGCTCAGGACGGATGACAGGAGGGGGAGCTGGCCAAATGAATTGGTTCAACCTAGATCAGCCTGGAAACCAATCATCGGCGGGTTAATATGAAAAGTTAATTTGGCCAGCTCCTCCTCCTGTCATCCATCCTGAGCTGTGCTGCCTTCCACTCTCCGCTGTACACTGAGGATGACAGCAGCAGCAGAGGAGGCTTTGGGAAGGGGGGAGAGAAGACATTGCTTGGGGGGAAAGAAGGGGGCCAGAGGTCATGAGGTCACCGCTATGGGGGAAAGGGGGACAGAGGATACTACTTGGGGGGAGGTGATGTGCAGAGGAAACTGCTATGGACAGGGCCACCCCCATAGCAGTGTCCATATCACACCCCCCACACACAATAGGGCCCATTTCCCCCATAGCAGTGACCTCTGACCCCTCCCCCCCAGCAATGTCCTCTGCCCCACTTTCAACCATAGCAGTGACCTGTAGCCCCCTCTCCCCCCACCAGCAGTGTCCTCTCCCCCCCCTTTTCTTCCATGGACAGGTATTTTAGAAATCTGAACTCCCAGCAAGTGGCTGTGGATTAGGATTTTTCTGCCCCCCAGCTACCCTAGTGCCCTAAGGAAGCTTACTAAGAAGCCTCATGCTGATGCCCAGCGTATGCCTGCTTAGGCAGCCACCTTAGGGCACCAGGGTAGCTGGGGGGCAGAAAAATCCTAATCCACAGCCACTTGCTAGGAGTTCAGATTTCTAAAGTACATGCCTTCCGACGATCCCCTTTATTGTCCCCCTGGAGCAGCTGAAAGCTAGCATCTCCTCCTCGCCCTCCCACCAGCATACAGCTGCTTCAGGAGGAAAATCCAGGAGATCGGATCAAGTAAAGGCTCCCCCCCCCACTACCCCTTCCACCCTTGTCATTCCTTTTTTTCTGCTGCCTGGCCCTTCCCCCAAGTGCTCTCCTTTCAGTGGGGCTCCTAAAGAAATTGTGAAAAATATTAAAAAATAAAAATGTAAAAAATAAAAACTACTGACACTAACCTCTGCCCTACATACATCAACCACTGCCCTACTGACATCAACCTCTGCCCTACTGACACTGTCCACTGCTCTACTGACACCATCCACTGCCCTACTGACACCAACCTCTGCCCTACTGACACCGTCCACTGCCCTGCTGACTGACACCGGTTCACTGCTCTACTGACATCATCCACAGCTCTACTGCTTGACACCAACTTCTGCCCTACTGACACCGTCCCCTGCCCTGCTGACTGACACCATCTACTGCTCTACTGACTGACAACAACCTCTGCCCTACTGACACTGTCCACTGCCCTACTGACCGACAATGTCCATTATTAAAGTAGGCCTAAGTTTGTATTTTTACAGTCACATTTGTTTTATATTTTCAACATTTTCCTTGCTATTTATTTAGGCCTTGCTAGTACTTTTTTTTAAATGATGCTGAACCTCGGTGATCTTTGATATTATTCATGTTGTTCAGGTAGATCTCCACCTCTCAAAGGTTGCCTACCCCTGCCCTAGTGGACTGAGATAGAACAGCAGGCCGGGACATAAAGCTAACGGTCAGAAACGCACGGAACCAGGGGCGGACTGACCATTCAAGCACTGCCGGAGGGCCCGGGGTCAGTAGGGGGCCCCATGAAATGCCCCTGGTACCTTTTTTATAGGCTTTTTTGAGTGTGGGCAAGGACACAGGGGCCCCATGATCCCCTATTGCCCGGGGGCCCCATGAGTTGTTAGTCCGCCCCTGCGTGGAACAAGGATTACTGAGCATGCGCAAAATACCATTAAATAGTCCCGGGTAGCATAATCCTTGTGTTTCCGTTCCCGGCAATTACAGTTCTGGCCTGCCCCAGTGGCTTGAAACAAAAGAGCAGGCCCGGGACTTTATTGTAATTGTCGAAGCACGACAACAGGGTTACTCCGCCTGAAACTAAATAGTCCCATTTCTGTCACTGGTCCCGGCTGAATCAATGGGGATCAGGGATGGTTTTTGTAGTGACTGTAGACCACAGTGCCCTAAAGTGAACAGTCCCCTTTCTGTCCCCAGGCCTTTGCTGCTGAACTGGCAGAACAAACCTGATGGACGATACAGCCTTAGGGCTCATCCACATATGTGGTGCCATATGAAGAGTGATCCATGCTTAGATCTCTCTTCAGATGGTGTTTGACACTCCCACTCCTGAACGCTGCACTCTGTATGCTTTCCGCTCATGATCCGTACACTCTATGTGTTACCCACTACACTCTGTAGGTTACCCACTCCTGGCATGAATTGACCCTCCACAGCAGCCAGCATCATTAGACCCCCACTCAACAGTAGAACCACCCCCAGCAACAACAGATTTCCCATCAGCAAGAACAGACTCCCCCATCCAACAACAAGAGATTCCCGAACAGCCAGGAGCAATATACCCCCCCCCCCCATGCAACAGTAGATCACCCCAGTAGCAATAAGATCCCCCAGCAGTTATCAACAATATACCCCACCCCAGTAACATTAGGTCCTCCAGCAGCCAATCAGCAACAATAGATCCCACAGAAGCAAACAACAATAAACCACCCAGCAGTAGACCCCCCAGCAACAATAAATCCCTCATCAGCAGCAATAGAGCCCCCACACAATAGTAGATCACCCCAGTAGCAATACGTCCCCCAACAGTCAGGAACAATAAACCCCACCCCAGTGACAATAGATCCCTCCGCAGCCATCCAGCAACAATAGATCCGCCAGCATTATTTTTATACAACTCATTTCACAGAAAGGTCCTGGAATTCATGAACATTTTGGTGAACTAAAATCTCCCTCTTTCACGTAATGAAAGTTACCAGTTCATGAATGGTTTGCCAAGCACACTAACCATTTAAAGCAGAACTGCACTGCATCTGAGCCCCACAAACCAAAATGTTATTTCATTCAATTTTAATATTCAGACCAACCTCCCCTTCCTTCCATGACTCCATGCTTTATGTTGCTGAGAAATAATTTTGAAAAACACCCCTCCCCCTAGCATTTCTGGCAATGGCCATCTTGAGTAAGGGCAGATGATTCATGTATCATTTACGTCTTTGAATCCATCTGCTCTTAGCTCAGGCATAACCTGAGCAGAGAACCCTCGCCTACTGAAGGCTGCTGGGATGTATCATGTCATTTGCCTAGGCATGGAAACCAGGAAGTAACTGAAAAAAATGTTAAAAACAAAAGTATAAAACAAGTAAATACAATATACTTTTGTATCTATTTACTGATGCTAGCAGCACAAGGATTACAAATAGTCCATGTTGATTGAGAGAGCGCAGTTCTACTTTAAAAAATATTTGTCCCTATAGTAATATCGGCACTGCTTACTGAACCTGTTTTTGCAGGTGCCGGCCCTGGGGTAGATATCCTCTTTATAGTCTCACTACCTAGTGAGTGACCTAGAACAAGCATGCAGCCAGTGAAGTATGCATGCTTGTACCCCCCGCCCAGGATGATTTAGATTTCAGTATATATTTTTTGCTGAGCTCTTGTACTCATGTTCCAGATGATGATTGTAAATGTAACTTTTCTGATCTCTTCCATACAGATTTATCTCCGGACGGATTTGGCTTTTCCACCAATCGACCAAATGGGACTTCATTACGGATCAATGATGATGTTTTCCTCACAGTATCACCTCCAATACGGTTTGTTCTTCCCAGTGAGAACCAAACCTGTGGACACATTGATCCTGACCAGGGGCGGACTGACCATTTGGAAACTCGGGCACTGCCCAAGGGCCCGGGGTCAGTAAGGGGCCCCATGAGATGCCCCTCGTACCTTTTTCTTAGGCTTTTTTGAGTTTGGGCAAGGACACAGGGGCCCCATGATCCCCTATTGCCCGGGGGCCCCATGAGTTGTCAGTCCGCCCCTGATCCTGACATGATGAATTCTGACGCAATGGATTCTGACAATAACCTGCTGTCAATCATCGTTCTCATGCTGATTCTACTGTTTCTTGGACCAACAGTATTTTACACTTTTCTTATATATTGCCTAGGCAGGGCTCTGTAGTCCACTTACATGGCTTCCTACATCACAGGTACACAAATTCTATTCCCATTTCATTCTCTAAATTGAAAATATAAATGTGACACATTGTGCAGGATACAGGTTTTCATGTCATCATTTACTGTTTCTGAGCCCCCAATATTTGTTCATCCTGTATGTCTCCCTGGTCCGCTGTTGATGTTGCGACTCCAAAATTGTAAAGGGTCACCTAACAACTTTTTACTGCTGGAAAATAACGTTTTATGCGTTAGAATTATTGTACCATCCTTTGTATGGATTGGGTACTGGTGAGTTCATTTCCAAGCTGGGTTTCCTATCTTTTTGGATCACCAAATGATAATACCTTACTAAGATTCACAGTTTTGCTGAGTTCCCTTATTACAACCCCAAATGCGATTGTCACACGAGTACATTGATCAATAATTAGGTCCCCATCAGTTACCCAACAGTGAACATTAGTTTACATAGATTTAGCCCTTGCTTGTTATTTCAGACATTTTGATTAATTTCTGAACATACTATTTACATGACCTTTATATATCCTATAGGATTCAATACTGCCAGCTGAAGCGCGTGTTTAAAGATCTATCTGCAGAGATGATGAGGATTTGTGCACCTGGGATAGCGAAGGACGTCACTATACCACATGAAGGATGCACATCTGAGATGACGCAACACGCCACTATACCACATGAAGGATGCACATCTGAGATAATGCGAGACGCCGCTACACCACATGAAGGATGCACATCTGAGATGACACAAGACGCCGCTATACCATATAAAGTATGCGCACCTGAGATAACGCAAGACGCCACTATACCACATGAAGGATGCGCACCTGAGATGACACAAGACACCACTATACCACATGAAGGATGCACATCTGAGATTATGCAAGACGCCACTATACCACATGAAGGATGCCCACCTGAGATTACGCAAGACACCACTATACCACATGAAGGATGCGCACCTACAATGGTGCAAGACGCCACTACACCACATGAAGGATGCGCACCTGAGATGACGCGAGATGCCACTATACCACATGAAGGATGTGCACCTGAGATGACGCGAGACGCCACTATACCACATGAAGGATGCGCACCTGAGATTACGCAAGACACCACTATACCACATGAAGGATGAGCACCCACGATGGTGCGAGACGCCACTATACCACATGAAGGATGCGCACCTACGATGGTGCGAGACGTCGCTACACCACATGAAGGATGCGCACCTGAGATGACGCGAGACGCCGCTACACCACATGAAGGATGCACACCTGAGATGACGCGAGACGCCGCTACACCACATGAAGGATGCACACCTGAGATGACGCGAGACGCCGCTACACCACATGAAGGATGGGCACCTGAGATGACGCAAGACGCCACTATACCACATGAAGGATGCACACCTGAGATGACGCGAGACACCGCTACACCACATGAAGGATGTGCACCTGAGATGATGCGAGACACCACTATACCACATGAAGGATGCGCACCTGAGATGACGCGAGACACCACTATACCACATGAAGGATGCGCACCTGAGATGACGCGAGACACCACTATACCACATGAAGGATGCGCACCTGAGATGACGCGAGACACCACTATACCACATGAAGGATGCGCACCTGAGATGACGCGAGACACCACTATACCACATGAGGACACCTGAGATGACGCGAGACACCACTATACCACATGAAGGATGCGCACCTGAGATGACGCGAGACACCACTATACCACATGAAGGATGCGCACCTGAGATGACGCGAGATGCCGCTACACCACATGAAGGATGTTCACCTGAGATGACGCGAGACACCACCATACCACATGAAGGATGCGCACCTGAGATGCTGCAGGACGCCACTATTATTATTATTATTATACAGGATTTTTATAGTGCCAACAGTTTGCTCAGCGCTTTACAATATAAGAAAATACAGCAACAATACAGTTCTGCACACCGGGAATGACGGTGGATGTCACTATGTCACAGGAGGAAGACACAAGTTCTCCCCTCTTTTCCCTCCTTCATCGCCCGTCCACCCATTCTTTCTCTCTTAAACCCTTAGCAGCCGCCTTCTTCCCATCCGCCCATCTCCCCACCCATTCTTCCTTCCCTCCACCCCCTCCACTTTCTCCCACCCTCATTCTTCCCTCCCCCCATATCCCCCTTTTCTTCCCTGCTCATTCTTCCTCCCCCCCCTAGTTCCCCTCCTTTTATTGTTAACCCCTATGCCCGCCCCTTCTACCCTTCCCGCCCTCCACCCTCTCCTCCCCTCATTCTTTCCCCCCCCTCTTCCACCCTTCACCCTTTATTCCTCCCCCCTACCCCCTCTGCTCCTCCTCCTCCCTCCACCCCTTCATCTTCCCCTTCACTCCCCTCCACTCCTCCTCCCTCCACACCTTCGTCCTCCCCCCTCCACCCCCCTCACCTTCTCCCCCTGTCACTCTTCCTTTCCCCCATCATCCACCCTCTTGTCCTACTTCCCTCACCTGCCCTTCTCCTTGCATCATCCGCCCTGTCCCCCTTCTCCCCTCATTCACTTCTTCTTGCCTCCCAGTCTGATTTCTCGACTCCATTTCACCAACCCCTTCACCATCATTCTCCTCTCTGACATGCCTTCGTTCCTCCCCACCTGCTCCCCACTTGCTCCCACCCCCACTTCTCCCCCCCCTCACCCCTCCCAGCCTTCTACCTCCTTCGCTCTCCTTTCCATCCCCCCCACTTCTCCCCCCCTCCCCCCTACCCCCCTTTTACCTCTTTTGCTCTCCTTTCCACCCCCCTTCCCCCCTCCACACCTCCCCCCCTTCTACCTCCTTCGCTCTCCTTTCCATCCCCCTTTGCCCTCTTCCAACCTCCCCCTTTCCTAGCCCCTATAGGCCCACCTCTGCCTCTTTCACTTCCTTCCTTCCCTCTCCCTCTTCATCCAGCCTCTCCTTCTTCCTCTTCTTCTATCTATCTCTTCTATTCCCTCTGTTTCCATCCCATCCTCTATCTTCTCCCCCAAAAGTCTCCTCTCCTCACCTCACCTTGCAATTCATGTCCAGCCTCTCCTTTTTATATCTGTTCTATCCCATCTGTTTCCATCCCATCCTCTATCTTCTCCCCCCCGAAAGTCTCTTCTCCCCTTGCAATTCACAACCAGCCTCTCCTGCTTTCTCTTCTGTTTCCATCCCATCTTCTATCTTCTCCTCCCCTAAAAGTCTCCTCTCATCCTCTTGCAATTTACGTGCAGCCTCTCCTTCTTCTATCCCTCTGTTTTCCATCCCATTCTCTATCTCCCCCCCCCCCCAAAAGTCTCCTCTCCTCCCCATGCAATTCACAACCAGCCTTTCCTTCATCTATCACTTCTATTCCTTCTGTTTCTATCCCATCCTCTATCTTCTCCCTCCCCGAAAGTCTCCTCTCCTCCCCTTGCAATTCACGACCAGCCTCTCCTACTTCTATCTCTTCTATTCCCTCGGTTTCCATCCCATCCTCTATCATCTCTCCCCCCGATAGTCTCCTCTCCTCCCCTTCCACTTTCCGTCCACCCTCTCTTTCTTCCTACCACTCAGCCTCTCCCTTCTCTCTCCCCCCCCCATAGTCTCCCCAACCAATCTTCAACCTTACTTGATTCTTCCCTCAACCCCTTCGCCTCCTCCTTCTTACCCTCTACCCTCCTCCACCCTCCTTCCCTTCCCCCCATAGCCCCCACCCACTCCCCTCTCTCCCCACTCCTTCCCTCTCCCCCAGGGTCCACCCTCTCCATCTGCCTCTGCTTCTTCTATGGTTTCCCTCTGATCCACTCTCTTCTTCCCACCCCATAGTCCCCCCCCCCCTCCTCCTCCCCTTCCCCTTCTCACCCCCCACCCTCCTTCCCTCTTCCCAATCTACCACCATCTCCTTCTCCCTCTTTTTCTTCTTTCCTCTCAAACTCACCCTTCTCTCTCCCCATGTAATCCCCACTCCTCTCCTTCTCCCCCCTACCCTCCTTCTTTCCCCTTCACCATCATCCACCATCTCCTTCTTCCTCCTCTTCTTTCCTTTCAACCTCTCCCTTCCCCCCCCCCATGGTCCCCCCTTATCTCTTTCTACCCTCCTTCTTCCCTCTCCCCCATTATTCACCCTCTCCTTCTATCTCTTCTCAGATGCGGCCAACATATTGGTGGAGTAACAAAACATAATTAAACAGAAAACGGTGTGGCATTTATCCTCAACAGTAAGCTCTCAAAGATGGTACTAAAGTACAATACTCTTAGTGACAGAGGCATCTCAATCCTTCTATAGGGAAGACCAATCAATGTCACCCCAACAACAAACACTGAAGATGAGGATTTAGAGTTGTTTCACAAACAACTTCAAAGTGCAATAGATGAAACAGCAAACAGCAAATCAAGATCTATTGATCATCATGGGGGACTTCAATGCAAATATAGACTGTGCATCTGAAGATGAAATTAAGAATATGATAACTTCGTACAGTTTTACAAAATTAACCAACCGTCCTTCATGTATAGATGATTCCAGCAACACATGCGTCGGCGATACACATGGACCTCTCCAAATGGCATGCATCGTAATCAAATTTACTACTTCTGCATAGGACAGAGCTGGAAATCTGACAACAAAGACTAAGCCTCAAGCTTTTGCTTTTGACTGCTGCAAGATCAAGGTAAAGCTTTGCAAGAAGAAGATCGTTAGGAGGACCTCCAAGATATGATAATGAGAATATTCCACAAGATTACTGGATTAAACTAACCAACAGATTTGCAGATCTGGGTACAGGAGTAAGAAGAGTTATGGAATGACATCAAAAACCATAATTAGTGAAGA